TCAGTCCACAGGCCGCTTGCTGCTCTATCCACTGAGCCAAACCGGCTGGGGCTGATACATTATTATGAACCAAAGCTTCCGTTTCCTCGGTTGTTCCCTGCTGTCCTTTTTTCTGTTCCAGAATCCCATCTGAAAGACCACTTTACATTTAGTCACCCGGCTCAGGTTTTCTCGTTTTTGGTGACTTTGGCTGTTTTGAGGCGTGCTGGTCAGGTGTGTTATAGATTGTTCCTAAAGCGGGATTCGTCTGAAGTTGTTCTCAGGTTTAGTGTGGGAGCATGGGTCTCCGAGAGGAAGACCACAGAAGTAAAGCCATTCTCATCACATCCTGTCAAGGGAACGTATTCCCAGCATGATTTGTCACTGTTGGTGGTGACCTTGATCACCTGGCTCAGGGGTGTCTGTCAGGCTTCTCCACTGGGAAGTCACTCTCTCCCTCCCTTTCCATACTGTTCTCTTTAGAAGGAAGTCAGTGTGTGCCGCTCTTGCAGACTGCAGGGCTAAGCTGTACTAGTTCCTTCTGCAGAAGAATTTCCTGTAGTCTCCTGGCAACAAATTTACAATTGATGTATTTGAAAATTGTCTTTATTTTATGTCTCCACTTTTTATTTTGAAATAATTATAGATTAGTAGGTACTTCAAGAAATAATAGAGTTCCCATGTCCTATTCTCTGGATGGTGACATCTTACCTAAATACAGTACAGAAGAGACTCAAAGTCGTACAACCCGCAGAACTTGTTCAGTTTTACATGCATGTGTGTGTGTGAGTAACTCTGTTCAATTTTATTACATGTGATTTGTGTAACCAAAACTACATAACTGTTCCATCACCAAAAAGATATCCCTCATGTACCTTTTTATTTCTCATTTTTGAAGAATTCTTTTTTGCTGGATATAGAATTTTAAGTAGACAGTGGTGTGTATGTATGTGTGTATGTTTGTCCTTAAACATGTTCCATTTTCTCCTGGCCTCAATTTTTTTCTGATGAGAAACCAGCTATCCTGTTTTTTATATTCATTCCTTGCCCTGTCTGCTTTGATTTTCCTTTTATATTTGGTGTTCAGAGTTTGACTATGATGTGTTTGTAATTTTCTTGCTTTTATGCTGTTTAAGGTTTACTAACTTTGATTTGTGAGTTACTGGTTTTGATCCAGTTTGGGAAACTTCCCAACCAGTGTTTCTTTAAGTATTTTTTTCTGCCCCATATTCTTTCTCCACTCATTCTGGGACCCCAATTTCATATATACTGGACAGTTTGATAGCTTTCTAGCAAAAGAGCCCTTATTCTTGTCTCTGTTTTCCCCTTTCTAATTTAATGATTTCTAAAAATCTGGATAACATATTTTTTAGTTGTAGGGTTTCTATTTGGTTCTTTTATAGTTTCCATCTCTCTCCTGAAATTCTCCCATCTCTACCCAACATACCCATGTTTTTTGTAGGTTCTTTAACATTCTTTTTAAAAAATTCTTTATTGTTGAAAGTATTACGTATGTCTCCCTTTTCCCCCATTGACCTCTTCCCACCCGCTCCCACCCCCCAGCACAGGCCCTCACCCCCCTACTGTCTGTGTCCATTGGTTGTGCTTATATGCATGCATACAAGTCCTTTGGTTGATCTCTTACCACCCCCCTCCCACCCTCCCCTGCCTTCCCTCTGAGGTTTGAAGATCTGTTCAATGCTTCTCTGTCTCTGGATTTATTTTTATCAGTTTATGTTGTTCATTATATTCCACAAATGTGTGAGATAATGTGATACTCATCTTTCTCCGACTGGCTTATTTTGCTTAGCATAATGCTCTCCATGTCAATCCATGCTGTTGCGAATGGTAAGAGTTCTTTCTTTTTTATAGCAGCATAGTATTCCATTGTGTAGATGTACCACAGTTTTTTTAATCCACTCATCTGCCAATGGGCACTTAGGCTGATTCCAAATCTTAGCTATTGTAAATTGTGCTGTTATGAACATAGGGGTGCATATATTCTTTCTGATTGGTGTTTCTGATTTCTTGGGAAATATTCCTAGAAGTGGGATTACTGGGTCAAATGGGAGTTCCATTTTTAATTTTTTTAGGTAACTCCATACTGTTTTCCACAGTGGCTGCACCAGTCTGCATTCCTACCAGCAGTGCACAAGGATTCCTTTTTCTCCACGTCCTCTCCAGCACTGTCATTTGTTGATTTGTTGATGGTTCTTTAACATTCTTATCAGTTATTTTTAAATCATTTATAGGCCTGCTTTTATTGAATGACTTTTCTCTTGATTATAGGTCATATATTTATTTCTTTTTACATCTAGTAATTCAACGATGAGAGAGAATAATTGATCGGCTGCATCTTGCTACCCCACACTGGGGATCAAGCTCGCAACCCAGGCATATGCCCTGACCAGGAATCAAACCGTCACCTCCTGGTTCATAGCTCAATGCTCAACCACTGAGCCACGCTGGCCGGGCAGATCTAGTAATTTTTATTTTATAGTGGACATTATGGGTATGTTATAAAATTTTTGGATTATGTATCTTCTGAAAACTGTTGAGCTCTGTTTCATATTTGTATGTGGTGAAAGGTATGGAGCAAAGTTCTTTTTTGCATGTGACTACAGTATGCCTTCAATGTCATCAATAGGTTCTTGGAAACCGCGATTCTAAGCAAAATGATGTATAAGGAACTCAATATTGCCATAGGCTAATTGACAAAAAACAAGAGTTAAATTCCTAAGGCATATATCTGCTCACAAAAACATCACCAAAACAAAAACATAAAGACTCAAAACGCTTCTAATATTAAACATGAAAATAAATGTGAGCTATACATAATTTAAGAAAGATTAATAAAAACAAGATTTACCAATTTTTAGTGACTCAGTGAGTGACGTGGTTGTAGTGGTGCACTCACACTCCCTACACACACTCACTCAGGCTGGGTCACTTGAGACACACAAGTTCACCTCACTGCACCTTTGGGATGGATGTGGGGAAAAAAACCAGTTCCCGGAAAAAAACATGCAGACGAGAAGAACGTGCCAACTCCACACAGACTGTGGTCTCAGCCAGGAATCAATTTTTTTCTCATGAACATTATCATGAAATGTTTTTTGAAGACCTGCTGTATCCAGTTGTTCCAGCACCATTTGTTGAAAAGACATTCTCTATTGAGTTGCCTTCGCACGTTTGCCAAAATTCAGTTGCCCGTATATGGGTGGGTCTATTGCTGGACACTCATCTGGTCTGATGTATTTGTCTGTTTTTACATCAACAGTATACTTTACTGTAGCTTTATGTAATAAACCTTGAAATCAGATAGTTTTATCCTTCCAACCTTGTTTTTTTCCAGAATCGTGGCTAATCTAAGTCCTTTGCATTTCCTTTGAATTTTAGAATCAGCTTGTCACTTTCTACGAAAAGCCTGCTGGGATTTTGACTGGCACTGTTTTGAATCTGTAAGTCAATTTTAGGAGGACTTATATTTTAGCAAACTTGAGTCTTCTGACCCATGAACAAAGTGTTATCACTCCACTTATTTAGGTCTTCATTTTCTCTCAGCATTATCAGGGCTTTTCAGTGTAGAGGTTATGCATTTCTTTTTATCAGATTTACTCTAAATATTTCATATTTGGTGCTGTTATAAATGGGATCTTAAATGTTTTCATTTTTGATTGCCCGTTACTATATAGAAATGCAATTGATTTTTGATGATCTCTTATCCTTAAACTTTGCTAAACTCACTTGTTAATTTTAGTCTTTTTTTTTGTGTGTGTGGAGTCTATTTGCTTATGCATATATACCATTCCTCTTATATCTGGCCAACTAGGAATGGAAAAATTGACAGCTAAGCACAAGAAAATCTGCATGGCAGTTTTAAATTAAATATAGGGTGTCCCCAAAAATATCTACACATGCTTTGAATAATTATAATGGCAGTGTTTATTAAAATACATTTAATTTCCAAAATTGAACTATCAGCTGTTAAAGTGTGTATACATTTCTTGGGGACACCCTGTATGTGCTATTTAATAATGGAGAGATGTGAAGTTGAGAAATTGAATCATTAAGGTTATTTTTGGATGATGGGAAAAGGATATGAGAATTCATGTGCTCCTTTATTTGGGGAGAAATATCTAAGTGGAAACTGCATATATTATTTTAATTAATATATGCTGAAACACGTGGTATTTTAAAGAACTCCTTTAACAAAATTATAGTTAAGATTTATTTTAATTTTTCAATCTGAAAAACAACAAACAAACCCCAAAACAAAACAAAACAAAAAACTATACTCGTATGTACAATGTCAACATTTTCAGAGCACTTACACTAGGACACTGTGTTTCTCTTCAATCATATGACAGCACTGTACGTGCCGCAATCACATTTACAAAACAACCGCGTCAGCAGTCACCCAGGCAGCATGATTTTACATTCAACGCACAAGAGAAACGGCCGTCCTCCTGGCACTCGGCGCCCCCTCACCGCGCCCGCCTGCAGCCCCGCAGAGCAGGTCCCCACGTGCTTTCAGAGCTTCGGCTGGTAAAACCCACGGTGGCTGTTAGAAGCCACATCCTGTCCAGACCCAGACTTAAATAATGAGAAATTTGCCATTTAAAAATAACAACCGATGGCTTATCAATGGGCATGGTGACATGTACCCGCCAAAAGGGGTGTAAAAAAACTGTATGAGAGGGAAAAATAAATACAGCTGTTGTAAGTAGTCTTGTTTACGCTACATTTCAGAACACTTAAACATAAACGTGCCCTTAAAGTTTTATAAAGTAGCTGTTTATGATCAAATTACAACTGCTGGACAAATCTAATGAAGACAAACTGATTTGGTAAAGGTTCCAAGACTCACACGCCAGCAGGCATTTCCCACGCCCCGCGTGGCGGTGACCCGCCACTGTGTCCGACGTAAGGCACTAGGTCTGAGTATGCCGCACACTCGCCTTATGCCCCGTTACCTGTTCCATACCAGTGAATTCTTTGAAATAAAAAAATAATAAACATTTCAGGACACAGTGCACTTTAATGACATACAGCACTTGAAATCTTTCAGACAGAGGTCTGAAAATAGCCTTTTAATACAAGCCTGACCCTTCAAAAACATATAGTCCTCTTTTTTTATGCTTAGTTTCAACATCACTGGAAAAAATACCCATCACTAAACCCTGATAGACATCCTTGGCCATTTTCCTCTCTTCCATGGCATCAGTGTTCATGAGGCAAAGCGTGACCCGGAATCTTAGTTCAAGTCCTACAAGGGCTCTATTCACAAAAGTCATTCAGTTTTCGGCTCCTTTTGTTTGACACCTGTCAGGAGAGGGAAAATGAAAGTTTCAAAGGGATATCGAAATCCCTGACAGCACGTGCTCCTCCACATCGGAGGTCCTGTGTACCGGGCAGTGGACGGGCAGGGACTGAGCAGGTGGGCGCCAGGCTCCCCACCCCCCACCCACCATGACTGCAGCAAATCTGGATGGAGATTTAAACCCATCCATCCCAATGTGCTCATGGTTCAAGACACGAAGGACACAGAGGATGAAGAGCTGCACTGTTTACTCTGAGTCTGCGATGCACAACGAGTCTTGGCTGCAGGGACAGCTGAGGGCCTTGCTCCACCCGGAGAGGGTGCCCTTCTCTGAACTGCCAGGTTCTGTGCCCACATGGATGGCTCTGCCCAGAGAGGAGGCCTCTTCCTGATGTGCAGGAAGGGCCGTTCGGCCGTCGATACGAGTAATCCCTCTCTGGATGGGCCCGCTCCTCGGCTGGACGCTGCCTCCGAGGGCTGTCCGCTGCCCACATAGCTGCGGCTCACGGCCACTGCTCGTAGCATTCCACTGCACGAACAGAACAAATCGGTCCATTCTTCTGCTCAAGGACACCTGGCTTGTTTCCAGCTTTAGTTTAATGCTATGAACAATCTCACATTCATTTATGCTTTTTATCAACATCTCATGATTATAAAGATTATCATGAGTTTCATGTTCCCTAATATCTGAAATTTTAAAGTGACCACACCAGGCCCCATGTCTGGTTTCTGATTCGGAAGGCGTGGGCGGGGCCCTCGGGGTACATTTCTGACGAGCCCAGGTGCTGCTGCCGCCCTGGGCCTCGGGCGTCCCTGCTCTACTAGAATCACAACCTTGGGGTCCCCACTCAGGGAATGTGATGCCTTCTCGTGGGCGGTGGGGATGCCTGAAGGGCGGCATCTTTAGGTGAGAGGTCAACTGTAAGAACTAGTCTCAGCTAGTCTGATTTCTGAATGAAAGAAAAAATCAATACCGTAACGTAGTACACACACTTGAATGTTTAACTTTTAAGAGTTCAAAGTGCATGTCTCTTACCTCCTGTCTTAGCATTCTTGGACTTGATCTGTGCAGCCCAAAGCTGGGTTTGTATTTTTTTAAAATATATTTTTACTAGAGGCCTGGTGCACAAATTCATGCACAGGTGGGGTCCCTTGGCCTGGCTGGCGATCAGGGCAGATCGGGGGTGGGGGTGGGGACCGGCTGGCTGGGGGGAGGGACCACAGGAGGTTGGCCAGCTGCCCAGGGGAGGGACTGTGGGAGGTTGGCTGTGGGAGCGCACTGACCACCGAGGGGCAGCTCCTGCATTGAGCATCTGCCCCCTGGTGGTCAGTGTGCATCATAGCAACCGGTCATTCGGTCACTTAGGCTTTTATATATATCGATTGATTTCAGAGAGAAAGGGAGAGGGAGAGAGAGATAGAAACATCAATGATGACAGAGAATCATTGACTGGCTGCCTCCTACACACCCCCTACTGGGGATCGAGCCCACAACCCAGGCATGTGCCCTTGACCGGAATAGAACCTGGGACCCTTCAATATGCAGGCCAACGTTCTATCCACTGAGCCAAACCAGCTAGGGCTGGGTTGTCTGTATTTGGGGGCAGGGAGGGGAGGAGGGGAAAGAAAAGGAAAGGGGCTGATGGGGTTAGGACCCCTACAGTCCCTCCACTATTAAACGTGTGCCACAGAAGGAACACCAACTCTTTTCCAAGGCTGCGCCCCCCTGCACGCTCCCGGCCGGGACCTGAGGGCAGGCTCAGAGCGAATCTGGCAAAAATGAGTTTAGCCATCGGTGCTGTTTGGCAGTTAATGTAATTTCCATGCACTCTTCATGGAAAAAAGTCTGTTATGTCTTTTGTTTTATATACTCAACACACTAGAAAGTCATCTGTTTTTGAAGTGTAGATGGTGTCAATAGTTAGAACCCAGAGAATTTCCCTCCTGTTTTCCAGTTAGCAGTCCTAAAAAGAAAGCAAAACTGAAGAGCCTTAGCTTTTTAATGGAAAAGGTCCTGATGAACTTGGCAATGAATCCTCGATTATTCAGGCACTGCTGGGCAGAGAGGGGCCGAGTCAGGATGCTTTCTATAAACTTTTCTCTTACTCAAGTGGAAGAATAAAACTTCACAACCACAAAGGAAATGACAATGGTTCACAGAGGAACGCACAGAAGCCCCCCTCAGGAGGAAATGTGTTCCTTCTGTGGCACACGTTTAATAGTGGGGGGACTGTCGGGGTCCTACACCCACCAGCCCCTGCGTGCCCTTCCCGTCTCAGGAGGTGAAGGTCAGAACCGGCCTCTGTACCTGGTGGGGTGAGGATGAGGGCTTGCAGAATATCTGACAGGGAAATAATACCCACAATACTATCTGCTTCATTCACCACCACCAGCCGATGGACCTGCAAACAAGAGAAAAGGAGGCCACATAAGCAAGTTTAAATAAAACACTTTAAAATGGAAAATAGGGAAAAAAAAATCTTTCACATTCTCTACAGTGAATCCATCCCACAAATTACAGAAAGTAACAGCATACAGAAACATGCAAAGGTCTTTGGCTCTGAAGCTCAATTGCGGTGCTGATCTGCTTGACTACTTTTTTTAAAATTTTAAACTTTTACTGATTTTTAGAGAGAGAGGAAAAGGGAAAAACATCAATGCGGCTGCCTCCTGTGCACCCTCTACCAGGGATTGAGTCTGAAACTCGGGCATGTGCCCTCACCAGGACTCCAACCAACAACCTTTTGGTGCATGGATGACACCCAACCAACTGAGCCACACTGGCCAGGACTGCCTGACTACTTAATAAAATAAATATATATATATATATATATATATATATATATATATATATATATAATTAATTTCAGAGAGGAAAGGAGAAGGAGAGAGAGATAGAAACATTAATGATGAGAGAGAATCATTGATTGGCTGCCTCCTGCACATCCCCTCCTGGGGGACTGAACCTGCTACCTGGGTATGTGCCCTTGACCAGAATTGAACCCGGGACCCTTCAGTCCACAAGCCGACGCTCTATCCACTGAGCCAAACCGGCTAAGGGCATGCCTGACTACTTTTAAGAACAATTTAGTCAGCCATGTCCAGCTGAGTTTTCAAATTTCACAATATTAGTATTTGAAAGATACAACTCAAAACATGAAGTACAATGTAGCTATCATATTCTCTTAGTTTTTATTTTTAAAAGTATCTCAGTTTCTCACAACTATCAGATTCTGTTTCACGTGGGAAAAAGTCCAAATGAGCACTAACAGGCCACCGCCCTGGGATTGTTTTTTATTTTTTTATCATGTCTCTATGAAGTTCATATATTAATAATATTCAGAGGATAAATGAATAGTAAAGCAAAGTAGGTTATAGTCAAGTCTCTTTTTCTACTTGAAAGTCTTTTATAAACAAGTAGGTCATGTTCTGAGGTATTACTACAGCGAAGCATCCTTAGAGCAGGAAGGAAGGAGAACATCCCACGTCTCAGATTTAAAAGCTTTAGAACTTACTACTGGTCAGTTCCTTTGGAGACCCCCTCTTCTCCATACGGAACCATTAACACCCTGGTCCCCCTGGTACAAAATGGGGATGCAGGCAGGAGAAGGAAAGAGGGGGAAGTTGTTTTTACATTTTGTCTTTTTTGTTGTTGTTCACCAGCCCTCTCCCCTTTGGCAACTATCAGCTTGTTCTCTATACCTATGGGTCTGTTTTCTGACTTATTTATCCATTTGTTTATTTTTTAGAGTCCACATGTAAGTGAAATCATATGGTATTTGTGTTTCTCTAACTTATTTCACCCAGCATAGTACTCTCTAGGTCCACCCATGTTGTTACAGACGGCAGGGTTTCATGGCTTTTATATTTTGGCGGCTGAATAATATTCCGTTGTATATATGTCCTTCTTTATCCACTCATCTATCGATGGACACTGAGGTTGCTTCTACATCTTGGCTGTTGTGAATAATGCTACAGACACATGGGGTGCATATATCTTTTCAAATTAGTGTTTTCATTTTCTTTGGATAAATACTAGAAGTGGAATTGCTGGCTCATAAGGTAGTTCTATTTATACATTTTTAAGGAGCCTCCAAACTGTTTTCCATAGTGGTTGTACCAATTTACATTCCCATTAACAGTGCAAGGGGGTTCCCTTCTCTCCACATTCTCGCCAACACTTGTTGTTTATTGATTTATTGGTACTAGCCATTCTGACAGGTGTGAAGTGGTATTTCATTGTGGTTTTAATTTGCATTTCCCTGTTGATTAATGATGTTGAGCATCTTTTCATATGTCTGTTGTCCATATGTATGTCTCCTTTGGAGAAATGTCATCACTGGTACTGCATATCCTTCTTCTAACAAACTATACTGAAGCTGAAAATTGGTCTCTGTCCCCCACTGAGAAGTCACCTGGTGAAAGAATTATTTTAATGAGGAAAGCCAGGATGGGTAAGTTGAGAAAACGGTTCAATTCCATATTTTCCTCAATGACCTATTTCATACGACAATGAAGTTTCTTTGTTCACCAGATTAACTTCTAGGACTGGCCAGGTACTTTTCCTTCTACCTGACGTGACAGGTGCTCACAGAGAGCCAGGGACACAGAGGAGCCTGGTGCAACCGGAACTCTGTCCCCCGGAAACAGTCCCTGTTACCGCTGTGGTGGGAGTCTTTCTGGCTGCTTTTCTATGTAGATGCATGTGTATTAACACAAAGAGTCATGCTGTTATGTAGTACTGTAATGGGCTTTTTCTCTTAGCAATATTCTATTAATGTTTTTCTATAGCATCAAAATTCTTCAACATGAATTTTTATCATTTAAAGGATTCCACCATTTGGATGTCCATTGTGCTTATAAATAGGAAGGATGCCTTACCTATTTCTGATTATGATCTTCAAAAGACATGCAATTCTAAGGACATTAATAAAAAAGTTAAGACATATTCCTAAGTCAATTAAACCCCTCTGCAAAACAAGTGGCGATTGGTATTAAATTCAGGTAGAAAAAGGAAAGACTCTCCCAGGCAGTGTGGCTCAGTGGCTGAGCGTCAACCTATGAGCCAGGATGTCACAGTTCAATTCCCGGTCAGGGCACACGCCCAGGTTGGGGACTCGATCCCCAGTGGGGGGCATGCAGGAGGCAGCTGATCGATGATTCTCTCTCATTGATGTTTCTATCTTTCCTCCCTTCATCCCTGAAATCAATAAGAATATATTTTAAAAAAAGAAAAGAAAAAGGGAAGACTTCATATTGGGATTCTAGTGACACCCTGCCAGCCGTGACAGTTGAAGCTGGGAGTCACCTCAGAGGCGGACAGGGGGCCGGGCTGGGTGGGTTCCGCAAGGCTGCTCCCAGGATGGAGCACTGCGCCCTGCTTCACACCAAGCTCTCAGAAAGCAAGCTAGTCGCCTGTTACGAGCCTATAAAATAATCAGGTACTTTTATTCTTGGACTGAGCTCTTGCATTTAAGATAATCATCAAAGCAGACTTATCGTCATGAATTGATTTTGCTTAATTAGGGGTTGTTCTAAAAGGAACATAGTCGCATCCTTCAGTCCTAGAGTGATGAACAGGAGAACATTCCTCTCCTGTCTAACAAGGAAGGAGAAGAATGATTTTAGGAATGGGCACACTGAGTGAGATAAATGTCTAGTAACCTCGTCTCCTGGCCCTCGGCACTCACGTCCCCTTATACTTGAAAATCCTACAGGCAGTAAGTATAACGGGACATGAGTGCTGAGGGTTAGGAGACAGGGTTACTAGACATTTGCTATGTACCTAAATCGGGAGGGAGGTACTGTAGGGGGGGGGGGGGGGAGAAAATTACCTTAACTTGAAAAAATCAGAATACATTTTATTATTTACTTCGTTAAAACCATATAATTGCACCTTTTTAACTTTTGATTTGTAAATACCCTATGGAACTTGAAGCTCTTGAAACCTGTTTCCTCCGGTATGTATTTTTTAAACCATGGCAGTATCTTGCCAGTTTACTGGATATCAGGACTTATAAATTGCATTCAATGAATATTTACAGGTGACCTACTATGTGCCAGGTAACATGCTAGGTTCTGGAACAGGGAAACTGTGTCCTCCGACCGAACTTGAAGGTGGCCCCATGGGCCGGTCCTGAGATTCACAATTCCTGAGGCGCCATTCACTGGTTAGAGCTCGCCATTCACTGGTTAGAGCTCGTATGACTTGGGGGGTGGGGGAAAGGAATGTGGAACAGCCATCTCACCTCCGCTCTTACTATTCTATCCACAATGGTCTCCAATATTTCCAGCTTACTGCACTTGACCACGCCCTCAAAGTACTGGGAACGGTGCTGAAGTGCCTGGGTCACGGTGATATCTAGGTTATTGTATGTTTTTTCAGCAGCAAGGTTCTGTAATAAAGTATCAGAATGCATTACATGCTTTCATTTAAGTTCACACTAGTGACCGCGATTAGTAAGTTTAAAGCCACCTGATTTTAAACACATCAATCAATGCATATTCAGTACCAGCACACGAGCTTGTAATGTGTCATCGCAGTGATAATTAAAGCTTACAAGGCGGACCTTAATGGTGGAGCAACTTTGTTAATTTGACTGCATGTCCTTCTAAAGCAGTGGTTCTCAACCTTGGCTGCACATTAGAATCACCTGGGAATCTTTTTTAAAATCCTGATTTCTGGGCCTCATCCTCCGGAAATTCTGTTTCTTTGTTATGGGGTGAGGCCACAACATTAGTAACAAAGAAACAGAATTTCCCGAGGTTGAGGCCCAGAAATCAGGATTTTAAAAAGATTCCCAGGTGATTCTAATGTGCAGCCAAGGTTGAGAACCACTGCTCTAAAGGTATCCCCTCCCCACCAAGGCTCCCTCCTGAATAAGGCGTCTTCTGAGAGTCGGGCTAGCGTCGGGTGAAGAAGTGTAGATGCACTCTCCTTAGGGGCCCCTCGAGTTCTCATTAACCTTAGCAGACCCCACGCAGCCAAGTTCCGATGGCCGTATTTTCTGGCGTCTCTTATGTTAAACAGAATAGGATGAAAGAGAGGCGTTGGGGCAGCTGCAAAGGAGTGTTCAAGGCTGGGGTCCATGTGACGGCCCCCATGGTGCGCACACGTGGCACTACCAAGTTTCAGTTCCCGTTCTTAGAAGGAATGGAAGGCTCTAAGGAGGTCCATTTCAAACGAACGAGAAAAAAGCATCACGTGGGAAGATGGAGCACCAAACTCAACCTAGATTTAAACCAGGATGCACGTGGGATTTACGTAACTATCTGGTACATTCGCTGTCTTCTTTAGGACAGTTGTCCCCGATCATCAAACAACAGGATGCACGTGACTACAAGTTCACGTGCACTAAGTTCAGATGCACACGTGCCCGTTGGTGGAATAAACAACACCTCCACATAGAACAAAGACCATTTAAAATATATACGCACGCTGTGGTGATGGATAAACTATACATGTACTGAAAAGACGGAGATTTATAAAATACTGTAGTATATTATTCATTGCTAAACCAATGAATATTAAAAGTACAATTACTACAGGGCCTCTATGGAATTCTCTGATAAGATCTTTACAGTCCAAAAAGCTAGAAATCATTAAATGATGGAAAACCACAAAAACGAATTAGTATGTTTTAAATGCATTTTAGATGACAGGTTTAACAAAATTAAAAATACTTACAATTACATCAAATTTGGAATAAATATCTACGACTTTCCCTAAAAATGAAAATATATGTTAGAAAAGTATCTTAGGAACAAAAAAATAACATTTAAAATCAATCTTAACTGGGCCATGGTTAAGAATTACATATTGCTAAATAGAACGAGCGTGTCTATTTTTAAATGAACGTGAAATCCTGTATTAATGGAAAGTGTGAGAATATGCCAGTTTAAAGTTCTCATTATCCTGAGTGCTCCTCAGTGCTGAATTTATTCACCATGTCTAAATGTTCGTTTCCCCCACTTCTCTCAGGGGCGAGGCCATCTGACAGTAACTTCACTGAGATAAACAGTTTTTCTGTTTATGGCCAAACAGACCTGACTCGTCCACAACAGGTAAGGCGGACACTCGTCTCTCCACGAAGACGTTCAGGGCTTTAATGATGGGCGTGTCGGGGTGGATGAAGGCGATGTTGTGGTAGGTCCCGATTCCCAGCGCGTCCAGGTTCTGCTTCATGAAGGCGGGCTTTGGCATATCGGACATCTGAACGGGAGGACAAGTGCAAACGCTCTAGACGCAAACAGGCCTTCTTCGCGCTCACACACCCACACGAATGAAAAACCAGCGCGACAGAGTCAAGCCAGTGTTCTCTAACAATCTGAGTCAATACGAAAATGTGACTCTAAGAACTGTCTTTTGTTCAAACCAGTTTAAGTCCAGTATCTCTAACTACTTAGTAAAATACTGCAAAGAACTAACAGTGTAACATTTCCCCTTTCTCTCTGCCCACTGAGAAGAGGACAGAAGGGAACAATGGGTCTCTTTGGAAGTTAAGGCCCAGAAGCCACCAAGAATCCTTATTTGTAAGTATTTGTGGGAAACCCCTGCTCCTGGGCCCTCACTAGGTGATACTTATTAGAACCCACACACGTCCAAACCCAAGTGTCTGACGGTGGCTGTCCGAGCTGTAAGCTCGTCCTCACACCATCCGTCTCCCCTCACACCCAACTCTCCTTGGAGAACTCCAGTTTTTGTCTCCTAGGAGTAAAGGACAGGCCAACTGAACAGAATTTAAAAACCCTTTAATAGTGAACTTTTCTTTTTTTCAGGGCTATTTTAGAGGAGGAGGGAGAAGTCAGAAGAGAGAAGTCTAGGGTCACGTGCGATTAAAACAAAATAGGGTCTATGGTTTCAAAAGTCCACCTTTTATACAGGGTGTAGCTGATTCCATCCTCCTGGTGTACCTTATAATTATCGGGAAAGATGAACAATTAGAAGAAACAAAATGTTCAAGTCAAAGAGCTCATCAATATTCAAATCATGAGACTCCTAGAAATTTAGAGAGAAAAAGAAAGCCCTATTAGGTCATCTAGCCGGTGGTGACGCAGGATAACCCGTTCCATACTGTGCGCTTCGGCTGACGGTCCAATGTCCCCAAGGGGACACTCCCTTTTCTCAGAAAATGAGCTCACAGTTCAGTGAAAGTCAGGTTTTGAAACTTCTTTAAAGTTCTGTATTTTGATCAGAAAACCTCTAGCTATTCGGCTATTCTCCTAGCACGGCTCTAATTACCATATTGGCCCAAATACAAGGCAGTACCAGCAGAGGCAACCTCCTCTAGTATTATTAGAGGAGAAAACGCCAGAGGCCCGTCTCAAACTGCTGCTCCTTTCCCAAGGCAGCGGAGCCGTGGGAAGGTGCCGGAACCAACCACTTGGCCTCGGAGTCACTGGACTCGCGGGTGGGGTCGGGGGAAGCAGCGGCTGAGAAAGGCTGCTGGTCGGCCTGCCAGTAGTGACGGTGGCAGTCACTCAACCTCGCTGGGTTTCATCACTTATAAACGGGATTAATAAAAATACCTACCTGAGAGGGGGGTGGTGAGGATTAGATTCATCATGTGACCTGCGTAGGACAGTGCCTACCTTATTGTAAATGCTTAACAGTATTTAGCTCTTGGGATTGGAACTGCTTTAAAATGCTGTCTCGAAGGGGTCACCTGGGCTCGGGCCTGTGGGCCTTCCATGCCCGCCCCACCCCGGTCCTGTGGAAGCTCATTGCGAAGGTGACTTTGTTCCCAGCTCACTTGAGGTCAGGTCTGACCAACGTAGCGCCTACATGTCCCCAATTCTTCCTCCCTGGACCATCTTTCTACCAAACCTCATGCCTCCTTGTAAATGACTCTTCTCCTTCCTACCTTCTTCCTTGGCATTACTTTAAACATGAAGAGTGTTACTTTTCCACGTAAACTATTAAAATATGGGACTGGTTTGATGGACAGGAGCTTCTCCCAGTGACTGCACCCTCGGTGCTCTGTCCAGCAGAGGTGGGCGGTGCTCCCCACTCCAGAGCGCCACCCACTGCCTTATTGAAGCTGGGTAAGGAATGGGAGAGCTAATCGGAGGCACATTGTTGATGTCTAGTAACTTCTTAAAAAAAAAAAAAAGACTCTTCAAGCGATCTCTCCTGAACCATGAATGAAGCCGCCTACTGGTTCTGGCTGACCAATTGCCTGTAACATCAAACTCAGTGCATGTCCTAACAGGAAAAAATCAAATTCAGTGCCTATCATTAAAAGGACAAATTTAAAGCCCTTTTGTGAACACTCGGTCCCTCTGAGCCTCTTTGAAACCTGCCGACCGAAGAGGGTCTAAGTTTTGTACGATGATGAAACCATTTCATTCCAAATGCAGCTGAGAAAACTTACAGATGACACAGCCCTAATTTGGACCAACATGGTAGTATTCTCTTGCCAAAATTTTATTTGCTTTGGGTTTTCCTCCCATGGCTGCCGTTAATAAGCTAATTCTGGGGACAGTTCTTTTTGAATATATGTTTCCAAAACCATGATCCCAATAAAGCAGCGTAAGGCAATTTGCTATAAATATTGGCTCAATTTATCTTGTGTAGCAATTCCTTAATTAGACTGACTTGCAAATTAGAATATTTTAGGTGATAAAATATTCTAATTTAAATAGAGAATTCGGAGTGTTTTTATTATTTGGATACTTTTTAATTGGAATCAACGTTTGAGAATGTACAATTCAAATAGCAGTAAGTTGAGAAACTGAAGTTTAGAAATGGAGACCTCACAACTAACGATTTCTGCTACGAGGGCAACAGGACCCAATTTACTTGAAGTAAATTAGTTATAAAGTAGATGCAGCTATGTCTTTAGAAACACTAAAAGCTACTTACAAAAAGCTGGAGGAACTTGAGGATTCTTTTGTGGGTAAGTATATAAAGTGCATTCCCACTGATAGGGTCAATAACTGGCAATCTGTGGATTTTATTTTTGATCAACGAGTTTACAGCATCGAAGAGGCTGTGGGAAAAGCCATTAAAGTTGTTAGGAGGCTTTCAGGACAAATCAGAAAGCTCTGGACCACCCCTGCTTTCAAAGCATTTCCAGTGTTTTTATATTACAATCATAAGAGGTTGAATGACTTGTAACAGTGGTTTGGGAAAGTTTTAAACTGGAGATCTCGGTAAACATTCTGATTTCTCCCCCCACAATCTGTGCTAATAAATCTCAAACACAAGTGTGAGCTACAAATCTCTGGCAGTTTTCTAGAAGCACATTTACTGCTTTTATTTGAGAAATGACAGACGCCAACCCCTAGGAAAGCTAACGGGCGACACCACCAGCGGCAGAGGCAGCTGGGGGTGAGGGGGCGGGGGGCAGGCCTGGACTGGCCGCTGGCTGCTTCCTGCTGGGCCAGCCACTTCTGGGCAGCTCTGGCCTCTCCTGTGACTGCCAACCAGGAGGCATGGTAGGTGTGTCTGTTGGGATTTGGAAATAAAAATACTAAAAATCAACATTCCACTTTTTCTCGCTGGGGTTCTAGAGTTAAGAATGCTTCCATATAAGCGTGGAAATGGACGAGAGCCATCGCAGAGGCTTGGTAAAAAAATGTCTGGGCTGGAAGACTGGAGAGGGCAGCCCTTCTTCCGGGCCCCCTCGGGACCGATGGCTGAGAGAGACTGACTTTTCAGCTCCACAGCACGTCAGCAAGCTCACATTCCTGGCAACTCCCACACACCGTTCCACAGGTGGGGCAGAGCCCAGGAGCCTGCAGTCCTCATGCGCTCCCTACGGACTTCTGCTACAGGTGACCTGGATTTTAACACTGCTTAGTATGACCAGCCCCCTAGTCCATGATCAACCCCTTCCATCAATAGAAGCTGTGATTTTTATTATCTCTAGACTTACTGAATTTAATATTTGGAATTAAGGAGGCTGGCCCTTATCTAGATAAGAAAAATCTATTAACCAATCAATCATCGTAACAAAACAGATGGATCTGAGTGAATGTTTTCAAAGGAGAAAAACGGCCCACGTTTACCTTGCATCTGGAGATATATTCACTAAAGGCTTAAATGTTTCTTGTAAATAAAGCTCTGTATTTACAGAAAGAAAAGATGTAATTAGTAACATATTTGCTGTTTGCAATTATTACATAAATTAAAATACCCTTCCATTTATAGGTAATAATTAAAGACCCAAACCAAATTTCACTGACTGAACACTATCATGTTAATTATAGTTATGGCCATTTTAAGTAACTCTCAAACTGGATGTTGCCTCTGTGGACAAATTAAATATTTAAAAATAGTATTACAAGAGATGCTGTAAAAATGAGAAGTCAAGAGATCTGATAAAAGCGGATGCCAGCAGAGGCACTAGATGCTGCCA